GTAAAACGGCTGTCACTTTTCAAATTACAGAACCAGAACGGGCGAGGAAGTCTTAGTCGAAACGCCCGGCCCGCCCCCCAAAAAACCTCGGGGCGCGACAAGGAAAAATTATATATTAGGAAAAGGAAAAGGAGGAGGAGGAGGAGGAGGAGGAGGAGGAGGAGGGAGGAGGAGGGAGGAAGGAAGGAGAAGGAAGGAAGGAAGGAAGGAAGGAAGGAAGGAAAGGAAGGAAGGAAGGAAGGAAGGAGGAGGAGGAGGAGGAGGAAGGAGGAGGAGGAGGAGGAGGAGGAGGAGGAGGAGGAGGAGGAGGAGGAGGAGGAGGAGGAGGGGAGAGAGGAGGAGGAGAGGAGAAGGAGGAGGAGGAGGAGGAGGAGGGAGGGGAGGATGGAGGAGGGGACGGGGGAGAGGAGGAGGAGGGAGGTGGGAGGAGGGAGCTGGGAGGCGGGACGAGGGAGGAGGGGGGGGGGCGGGGGAGGAGGAGGAGGAGGAAAACGGGGAGGAGGAGGAGGAGGGGGAGGAGGAGGAGGGGGAGGAGGGGGGAAGAAGCGGAGGTGGAGGAGGAGGAAGAGGAGGAGGAGGAGGGAGGAGGAGGAGGAGGAGGAGGAGGAGGAGGAGGAGGAGAAGGATATAGGGGGGAAGGAGGAGGAGGGGGGGAGGGGGAAGGGGGAGGAGGAGGAGGAGGAAGAGGAGGAGGAGGAGGAAGAGGAGGAGGAGGGGGAGGAGGAGGAGGAGGAGGAGTTCTGGAGTTCTGGGTGTAGCGACCAGGTCGGATCGAAAAGCATCGGAAAGCCTCAGAAAGCCCCGCCCGCTCAGCAGACCTCGGAGAAGAGCGAAACCCGGATTGCCTCAAGCCCATTAACCAGATCACCATGCGGACCACGACGACCTGGAACCCTGCCAAGACGCGCAGGTGACCTCGATGGGGCGAGCGCCATTCAATTCGAACACAGAGTCAACACGTGGCCAGAAAACCTTCAGGAAGCTGGACTAACGAGTATGACATGGTTCGTACATCTGAGTCTCCTCGGACATTAGCTATGCTGCTACCCACCCTGCCAGAGCCGCACGTGAGCAATACCGACTCCTCAGACCCCCCCCCAAACCGAAACACTGGGAAAGACCTCCCTCCTTCGTAATGCAGGAGAGATACAACATGGACTTGCGCCGTGTCGCCACAACTGTGCGCACCAACGGTTCCATAACACCTGACCACCCTGCAGGCCGCAACTGCGTACAGTGCCAGGCCGTAAACTGCCCTGCGCATCCTTCCCATTGGGACAGCTGGTGCAGAAAATCGGACCCAGCCCTTCCACTGCAGTTTGACAGAAGTAGTAGCAGCTTGCACCCTGTCCGCGAGAAAATGAGAAACCCCATCGCTGCATAATAAAGCACAGCACAAAGTCAGCTCCCGACAACCTGATTGCACCCATTCTTGCAGTGTTGAGGTTGTATAACCGTCATAAGCCCACGCTACTGATGTTCATAGTGGTAGCGAATGACGTGAATACCTGACTATCTGGGGCTCTCATTGCCAGAGGGATGGAAACCAGCTGTACTCACCGCCAGTCCCGACTATAAACTCCCTTGGCAGAATTGGAAGAGGACAAAACCGTAGGAGGATGACGCACTGATCCACTGCACAGTTGAAAGCACCCACCACCAGAAAAAAAACCAGACCACCTGCGTGAGCGGCAGCCCCAATTGTAAACTTCCTGGCGGATTTGGGAGATAACTGGGCCGCAAGAGATGACGCCTGCAGCCCTTTGCTTCGCAAAGAACTAAATACTCGTTGAAAGCCGATTTCCAACTACATTGGAAATTGCAACTCCTGCCGGCGACGTCGGACCCTCAACGCCTGCTGTTGACCGAGCCCCACTTGAGTGCCCACTGGATAGCGGAGAGAGACAGCCCGAAAATGCCTGGTATGATGACGTAGAAAGCGAGTCCCGTGAAACACACAGTGTCCAATACTTGCAGCCACCGACTCCAGGAAGCAGCCCTCTGATTGCTGTCGGTACCCTCCCCGAGCGGCGCTGGGAGATAACAGAACCGCAGGAGATGCAGCCAGGGGCAAAGCCGACACACCCAACTTGATTGAGGATGATGTTGCTCACCGCCTTACTGCAAAGAGATAGAGGGTTGTCACCATTGGCAGAGAAAAACGACTGAAAGCCCCATCGCCACAATATTAGCCGAGCTGAAGCCTCCTGCAGGGATTCACACACGACTATAGTAGCTGAGATGTTCGTGGTTAGTGGCCTTCGCGCTCTTGTGGTCCACCCCCCAAGCGGCTAGTGCTGGGCTGCGGTGGCCTTACTGCCGTCGCGAAGAGCCACATGATCCCCGCGTTGTAGTTGGCGCGCGGCTGAAGCACACTGGTTGCAACCACTGCCTGGTCCCATATTGCATCAGAACCTCCAGCCTGTACGCTGCGCAAGTGCCCGTCCATGAGTTGTTGAACCCTGTAGGTCCTTGGCGTATTCGTGGAAGTCTGCATCGGTGCCCGTAGAGCCTCCCAACGTACGAAGGACAACTGGCATGTGCTCAGTGGCCACCGGCGTTGCTGGCACTTGGCGCCCTCCAAGGTTGGCGAGCACACTGAGACCGCAACCGCAAGTTAAACCTCCACCGCCATCGGCTGCGAAAAGAATTTTCCAACCGCGTATGGTGGCGGAGCTGCGCGCTCTGACAAGGTTGAAGATGCCGTCGGTCCCCAAGTAGTGAGAGGCTTCGAGCGGTCCGTTGTCGGCGACCTTGACAGTCAGGTCGCGGCCATTCACAAGCGGCGTGGCCTCCGATCCTGATGCCTCCGCGCACTGCTGCGGCTTGTACCCTGGGATCGCACCGAGAGTGGCAATTGTCGAGGGGGTACCGCTGACTCTGACCTTGTCCGACCGTCGGCTGATACTGATCACCGTCGCATGCGGAAGTTGACCCACTGCAGCCTCGCATGTCATGTTCTCGTAAACGGGCCGTCTCTCGGCCCTGTCCACTGCGGAGCCGAGGTACTTCTGCATCAAGAGGTCGAGGTAGTCGCGGCCCTGAGATGGCGGACAAACGCAGGATATGACCACGAGTGCAGGTGACGCACAGAGTTCACGATCTTCATATAGTTGAAAGATGTTGCGGCTCTTGCACGGAATGCCCAGCGGCTCGAGGAGCGGTTGTGCAGCCTGCTCGACTACCTGCGGGTTAATGTCCGACATCTCCCAGTGACGCAGGATTGAATGCGCCGCCATACTGGGTGCGACCGTTGCCATACTTGGAGACTGTGTCCCGTTCTTGTAACGTCCGAGGATGTCAGCGTAAACGACGCCGATGCTGTCGGAAACGTGTTTAACTCTCCTTAGTCAACCCCACCTGAATCCGAGAGTCCAAACCAGTAGAATACCAGAGCCAGAGTAGGGGTGTCCCCCAAGCGCCACGAGAAGGCGGAGAGCAGGCGAGGCGGCTAGCACATCGAGAGCCCAAAGAGGTGGAGGAGGAGGAGGAGGCGGAGGAGGAAGATGAGTTTTCTCCCCGAAAGGATTTCTGCTATCCGCGCAGGCCTGAGTGCGCTCACAGGGCGCAGCCGCTCCGCTGCGTCGGCGCAGCTGGGCGCCAACTAGCGCCGCGCAACTCAACGCAAATCGCCCGCGGGGCTGCCTGTTTAGCCGAAACAAGGCAGACGGGGAAACAGGCGGGCCCCGGACAACCCCGGCACCGCCGACAGAGCGAGGGAACAGGTCGTCGATGCCTCCTCCAATACGCACGGGCAGGAGGAACGCCTCTCCGCGCCGGCGATCCCGATGCCTTCAGCCTCTGGAGCTGGAGGCACTAGGCGGGCTCATGGGAGGAGGGCTCGGTTCTGAGCCCCGCGGACGCGATTCCTTCAGCCTCTGGAGCAGAGGACGCTCTCGCCCTTGCCGACGATGTACGAGTCGCACTCTTCGTAGGCGTCGTAGGTCTTACTCTCCCCCGCGCCCTTGATTCTCGGCACGGCTCGGTTAGTCCTGGTCTCCGTCGGGGCCTGCGCCATCGTGAGGCGCACCGCGCTGACGGACCAGTCGCACTCGGTAGACTCGCGCACGCCGGAAGAGTCCGCCATGCACGCGGAGACCACGACCTCCTTTGCCTTGTCGACCTGCGCCTCCTTCGTGGACTTCGAGGGCGGCTCGAACTCTGTTTTCTGGCCATTTTTCATCAGCTCCCCCCGCTGCTCGGACTTGGAGCCGTTCTTGGTGGCCCTCTTGAGGAATCGTGTGTTCTCTAGGACGAACTCGAACTGGCACTTCTCGATCTTGTTATCGAAGTGGCCGGTGATGCCGACGATGGCCGTGTCCTGCGCGACGCGGGCGCGACGCCGCCGCCCCCTCTGCTGCCGCTTGGCCCCCTTCCCGCACTGGGGCAGCGCCTCCGCGCCCAGCCTGGGCCGCTCGCCAGCAGGGTGCTGGCCGCGCAGCGTCCTCGACCTGCAGGTTGCCGCCGCCAGCCTGGGCCGCTCGCCAAGAGGGCCACCGCCGTGGCCGCCACAGCCTGGCGAGAGCCGCCTGCGCGCACAACAACACCGAGGAGAGCCTCCGCCATCGCGTCGGCCATGACCGACGCAAGCTCGAACCAAAGGCTGGGCGAGCAGGCTGCTAGAGCCAACATGGCTACGGACAGCGGGAGGCGGAGGAGGAGGAGGCGGAGGAGGAAAAGGAGGAGGAGGAGGAAAAGGGAGGAGGGAGGAAGAGGAGGTGAAGGAGGAGAAGGAAGAGGAGGACAAGGCACGACCAGACCGAACGAGTGCGAGGAGGAGGACAAGGAGGAGGAGGCGGAGAAGGAGGAGGAGAAGGTTAGGACGAGGACGAGGAAAGAGGAGGAGGAGGAGGAGGAGAAGGAGGAGGAGGGAGGAGGAAGAGGAGGAGAAGGAGGAGCCCGATCAGCGCGAGCTGGTGGGATAGACCAGCTCGTGGAAGGGGTCGAAGCCCCTGGAGGGGAAGGAGGGGAGTGATAGCTCGAGCCCGATCAGCGCGAGCTGGTGGGATAGATCAGCTCGTGGAAAGGGTCGAAGCCCCCGTCGGGCAGGATCGCCGCGGGGTACCGGCTCTGCACGTCCTCTCAGCCCCAGGGCGCGAGAGCAGGTCTTCGGGGGGGGTCCAGGAGAGCCCTCCTTCGGTGGCAACTCGTGCGAGCCTCCAATATCATCTTGTCGGCTCTTGCGAATCGACGCTGGTCGACGCTACATCGGTGCTAATCGACGCTAAATCGGCGCTATCTCGTCGACTCCCAGACGCTAATCGACGCGAGTCGACACTAAAAACGGAATTGCGAAGGTATACTATACAAGGCTCCCATGATTTGCTACCGAACCAACCTGCCGTCCCTTTTCCGATATGATCGGCGTGATCTTTCTTAAATCACGTAGACAGTTCCCATGAACCTCGATGAGTTCGTCCGCATCTTCTGCGGAGGTCGGCAGGTATGGAAGGTGGAAGTGGAGAAAGGGGCGTTCAAGAGGGGGAGTCGTAAATCCTGCCCATAGGAACGTGTGCGGCCGATGGACGTGTTGAGGCAAGGGGATGGGGCCATGAAGACGGGCAGGTGTCATGGCCCAGGCAATGATGTCCACCCCACCCGACCACAGTCATCACTACCGTCGTGGCCGCCAAGGAGCTCTCCCTCCTCCTTCTCTTCCTCCACGCCTCCTCTTTCCCCCCCGCTCCTCCTCCTCCTCCTTTTCCTCTTCCACCTCCTCCTCCTCCTCCTCCTCTTCCTCCTCTTCCTCCCACCCCCCGCCCCGATCGTTGCTCCTGACCCTTTCCCCGAGCCGTTTCGTGGACGTCCCCGTGGCCAGTCGAGGGGCCCCGCAGACGCCGAGAACGGCGAGACAGCGCGCGACCTGGCGAACCCGAGCAGACTCTCGAGGCGAGACTGGCCGCGCGGCGACGAGGGAGCTCCGCGAGGGCGCAGGAGCGCGAAAAACGTGCAAGAGCCCCACAGCTCGAAACAGCGCAGGCTGGATGCTCTCCTCCTCCTCCTCCTCCTCCTTCTCCTCCTCCTCCTCCTCCTCCTCCTCCTCCCCACCATCATCATCACCATCACCATCACCATCACCATCACCATCACCATCACCATCATCATCATCATCACCATCATCATCACCGTCATCGTCATCGTCATCGTCATCGTCATCGTCATCATCACCACCATCACCACCACCACCATCACCATCACATCATCATCATCATCATCAGCATCATCATCATCATCAGCCCCGCCATCATCATCATCATCATCATCATCATCATCATCATCATCAGCATCAGCATCATCATCATCAGCATCATCATCCTCATCCTCATCCTCATCCTCATCCTCATCATCAGCGTCCTCATCCTCATCCTCACCCTCATCATAATCATCGTAATCCTCAGCATCATCATCAGCAGCAGCATCATCATCTGCATCATCAGCATCATCATCACCAGCAGCATGATCAGCATCATCAGCTGCATCTGCATCACCATGATCAGCATCAGCATCATAATCAGCAGCGGTATCAGCATCATAGTCAGCATCATAGTCAGCATCAGCATCAGCATCAGCATCAGCATCGGCATCAGCATCAGCATCAGCATCAGCTTCATCATCAGCATCAGCATCATCATCATCATCGTCATCATCACCAACATCGCCATCACACCATCACCATCACCACCATCACCATCACCATCACCATCACCATCACCATCACCACCACCATCACCATCACCATCATCATCATCATCATCATCATCATCATCATCATCATCATCAGCATCATCATCATTATAGACATCATCCCTCCTCCTCCTCTTCCTCCTTACTCCTCCTATTCTTCCTCCTTCCCCCTCCTCCTCTTCCTCCTCCTCCTCCTCCTCGTCCTCCTCCTCCTCGTGAGGGCAACGACCAGAACGCCCTCGACGAGGCGCAGCTGCTGGAGCGCACCCCGAGGCTGGGAAGCCACCCAGAACCGAGGAGAAGTCAATCCTCCCCACGCCCGTGCCTGCCCCCCCCCTATCTTTGCCCATGATCTCGGCTCTCTGCAGGGCTGATCCTCGGTGCGTAGGGGGAGGAGGAGGAGGGGGAGGAGGAGGAGGAGGAGGAGGAGGAGGAGGAGGAGGAGGAGGAGGAGAAGGAGGAGGAGCAGGAAGATGAGGAGGAGGCGGAGGAGGAGGAGAAGGAGGGAGGAGGAGGATGAGAAGGAAGAAGAAGAGGTGCGTTCTGGCAACCGAAGCCCAATGGGCCCTGCACCGCTTCCCCGTCCTTCGCCAGGCCGGCGGTCGGCAGGCCCGCCTCCAGGGACTTGGCGTGCAGGGACAGCGGGTACGCCTCGTCTCCAGAGGCCGGGGGGCGGGGAGGTGGGGTCCTCCTCCTCCTGCTCCTCCCTCCTCCTTCTTCCGCCCCGTGAGCGAGCGTTAGAAGGCGGGGCCTCCTTCCCCCTCCCTTCTTTCCTTCATCTCTTCCCGTATACAGTTATACATACATCTATATATACTTATATATATATATATATATATATATATATATGTGTATATGTGTATGTATGTATGTATGTATGCATGCATGTATGTATGTATGTATGTATGTATGTATGTAGGTATGTATGTATGTACGTACGTACGTACGTACCTACGTAGCACGTGCGTACGTACGTACGTATGTATGTATGTATGCATGTATGTATGTATGTATGTATGTCTGTCTGTCTGTCTGTCTGTCTGTCTGTCTGTATGTATGTATGTATGTATGTATGTATGTATGTGTGTATGCATGTAGGTACGTATGTGACGGAGTGTATACGTGTGTACGATATATATATATATATATATATATATATATATAATATTATATATGTATCAATGTATGTACGACATATATATATATATATATATATGTATATATGTATATAGTGGTGCATGTGTACGATATATATGTATACATATACATATGTATGTATATAAAAATGTGTGTATGAATATCGTGTATATATGCATATATATACACATGTGATTATGCACGTTTGGGATTGCACATCTATATCCGTAAGGGCTTCGCCCCCTGCCGCCGGCCCCCTCTCTCGGAGAATGGGCCATGGAAGAACTAAATCATGAGGCTTTGGCGCTGTCGTGCAGCAGTATCGGAACTTCATGCGAGGCCGATTCGCAATCGGCAAAACCAACTGATCACAAGAGGGGTTACCACACAGGGCGATTGGTAAGACGTGTATGGTTTACGAGCTTGGTTACCACACCTTGGGATTAAAGGGCCGAGGGAGTACTCGCAGTTTGGGTTACCACGCCTTGCGATGGATGTGCGTGAGGGGTGGCACCGAATTTCAGAAATGTGGCAAATCCCTGTGTTTTTGGACCCTGACCCCGCGGATCTGCGTGAGGGGTGGCACCGAATTTCAGAAATGTGGCAAATCCCATGTGTTTTTGGACCCTGACCCCGCGGATCTGCGTGAGGGGTGGCACCGAATTTCAGAAATGTGGCAAATCCCATGTGTTTTTGGACCCTGACCCCGCGGATCTGCGTGAGGGGTGGCACCGAATTTCAGAAATGTGGCAAATCCCATGTGTTTTTGGACCCTGACCCCGCGGATCTGCGTGAGGGGTGGCACCGAATTTCAGAAATGTGGCAAATCCCATGTGTTTTTGGACCCTGACCCCGCGGATCTGCGTGAGGGGTGGCACCGAATTTCAGAAATGTGGCAAATCCCATGTGTTTTTGGACCCTGACCCCGCGGATCTGCGTGAGGGGTGTCGATTTCGAGCCCCCCCAGCAATTCAGACAACGCGCCCAGGGGACGCTAAAAGTCTTGTTTGGGCCTCCCCCCCCCTCGCGCGGTCAATCAACTAGTTACAGTAACCAGCAAGAAGTCAACTAGTTACAGTAACCAGCAAGAAGCAGAACTGTAACACTGGAAACTACAACCTACAACTGGTACAGGAAACTGCGAACCGCGCCTACAGCCTGGTGGCCCCACAAGGGGGCCGGCGGATATATATATATATATATATATATATATATATATATATATATATATACATATATATATATATATATGGATACACGTCTACACACATACATGTATATACATATATGCTAAGCTGTGCGTTGGTAGTCCACCATCGGGAAACGGAAGCTGAGCGTGCCGCGGGCGGTCCCTCCGCACGTCCCCCTCGGTGACTGCCCTCTCCTTGGCTCAGGCAGGGGAGCGCGCGCCCCGCTTCCCTGGCCGTGCGCCCAGCGAGGGGTGAGCGCGGACACGCCTCCCCCTCGTCCTCGCCCTCGCCCCTCCTCGCCCCTCGCCCGCCCCCCCCCGTCCCGCGCGCACCCGCGCCGCGTGCCGAGACGTCCTCGGTCGCGGCGGCGGGTCGTGCGGCGCTCCCGGCCGGGCATTCTCAGCCAACTCCCGCGCTGGGGGGTGGACCTATGCCGCGAGGTTCGCGACCGCGTCCGCTGCGCGGCTCCGGCGGGCTCGATCCGCGCCACGCGCGACGCCACCGACGCGCTGCGGAGCGCAGCGCGCTTGCTGGAGATCGCCCTGGAGGACGGCCGGGCTGCGGCGCCGCCGCAGCAGCCATGCGGTATTCCACGCTGCGGCAGGGCGATGACTGGGAGCAGCTCCACTGGCGCGAGGACGACGTCCTACAGTATGAGGTGGAGGATAGGCGAGGTGGCCTAGATTGAGGTCGGGCATGTCCCCCTACAGGCGGACTTTCGACGACCAATAACGAATTCCCGAAAATCAATCAAACAATGATCAAGAATACTCAAAAATTGTGTCCAGACTATCTTTTCACTATTTTGAATGTTCCTCCTGTAGAGGGGCAGGCCCGACTTAATCCTAGAACAGGGCCTCGCGGCAGTGCTCGCGACGTCCGTTGGGCGTGGCTTAATTGGGGGGGTCACAAATGGGGGGGTCAGAAAAGGTCCCCTTTCGTGCCCCTTTCGGGCCCCTCCAGAGCCCCAGGGGGCTCGTTTAGGTACCGTTTGGGTACCTTCTCGGACCATACTCGCCACCCCCCCATTTATGATCCCCCATTACGCGGCGCCCGAGTCCGTCGGGCGGCTCACTGCGCCGGGCAAGCTCGTCGAGGGCGAACCCCTCGTTGCGGACGACGGCCACTTCGCTCTGTACGTGGACCCGGGCAAGCCGCGAGGCGCGCGGCGCCCCGCCGCGTGCCCAATGATTATCACCTGTGCGCAGGCCGTGTCAGCGCCTGCCGTACCCGAGCGGCGCCGCCTGGGACCGCGATCGTCCACATCGACGGCCCGCCTCCCGACGCCGGAGCATCTGGATGCCTTCACGCGCGAGGCTCAGCAGAAGGAGGGCTCGGTCGCGACGCCGGCGAGCGAAAAGCTCCGTTCCCACTCGGGGAACCCTCGGCGCGGTGAAGGTCCGCGTGGCGGCCCTCTCTTTTTGTTGCGTCGTGGAGACGCGGGATCTCACGACGCCGCCTCGGACCTGCGGCTGGTCAGTCGCGAGGAGGCCGTCCGCAGTGCCGGCGACGGAGGCCGAGGCTTGAGCAGGGACCAACTGTCCCGGCACTCCGATTGGCCTACCACGAAGTGTTCTTAGAACCCAAACATGTTCTGAGAACAAAAACAATGTTTTTAGAAGGTAAGCCCGATGTGATAATACAAGACAGTCCCCGCCAGAAAGGTTCTAGGAACATCTAGTAAAACCACACAAGGTTCTTAGAACAGTCATTGGTGGGCCTATAGTCGGGTTGACCCAAAAGGGGGTCCAATGAAAAGGGGGTGGTGCAATAGATTTGGTGCAATAGATTTGCGGGATTGCAATACATTTGGGGCGTGCAATACATTCCGGGGCGCAGATGTACTGCTGGATTTTCGCGTGCAGTACACTACTTGCAATACAATGCAACACAATTCTCCGGCGCAGTACATTTGCAATACAATTTGCCCCAAATTTATTGCACCACCCCCTTTCAGCTGGACCCCCTTTCGGGTCACCCCGATATAGGCACGCCAGGACGCTTCGCCACTGCTTGCGAGGCGGCGATCGTTGAGCAGGGACCGACCGTCCCAGCATTCCTATAGTCCCAGCATCCCTATACCCCAAATCTATTGCACCACCCCCTTTCAGCTGGACCCCCTTTCGGGTCACCCCGATATAGGCACAGATGGCACCCCTTGCCAGCATTCCTGCAGTCCTACAAAAGGTTCTTAGAACATTGTCTGGTAGGACCATAGGCACGCCAGGACGCTTCGCCACTGCTGGCGAGGCGGCGACCGCGACGAGGCAGACGATCACCCCGGCCAGGAGCCTGCGCGCGGCGCGCGGCGCGGGCCGCCGGTGGCTGCGGGCGCGCTCGGCCGCAAGCTGGAGGGGGCTCGACGCCGCTCCCGCCTCTGCCACCTGCGAGGAGGGAAGGGGAGGGGAGGGGAGGGGAGGGGAGGGGAGGGGAGGGAGGGGGGGAGGGGAGGGAGGGGAGGGATGGAGGGAGGGAGGGAGCGGAGGACTATTTCCTGGGTTATTCCCTGCTGCGCTAGGGGCCTTACGTGTAAGGGGCCCTGACGGGGGGTGCACGCTGGCTATACACGGCCTGTCCGAGCTATAGGGCGTGCTGCACTGGAAGGGGTGGCCTGTAGTCGGGCGACGTCCGTCCCACAACCTTGACAACCTCCCTCCGAGAGTCCTTGAACTCCCGGGCTTGCAACGCTGCTTGAGGGCCAGCCAACGCGCGGTTGCGTAGCAGGCGCAGCGTTTACAGAACACGCGAGAGGCACGGGTCACAATATGATGGCCCATGCTCCTTGCCTGATTTGTGAGGGGGTCCCGCGGGTCACCATCCACTTCTTCGACCAGGAGAGGAAGGCTCCGAGGAGGAGGAGGAGGAGGTGGTGGTGTTGGGACCTCGTCAGGCGGACCGTCGGGCTCTGGGGGTGTCCGGGCCTTCTCCCTGGACGTGTCCTTAATTTCATGGGACTCCCCCCCGACACGAGCCGCGAATTCGAGAATGTCACTGACTAGCTTAAACTTCTCAATGTCAGCCTTCCTTTGTCAATCAGCGTGCTGCAACATCTGAGCTCCAAGCTTGGCGTGCTTGTCTGCCGCCGTGTTTCCTACCCAAAGCCTGGCCCCCATCTCGGCGCGTTGTGCCCGAGTCGCGTGAGCCTTGGCTGAGCCCCCCGAGCTCCCCGATCAAGTGCCAGCACTTCTGCCACAGCCAAGACATTGCTATATCTGGCCTGTGACCCCACGCTACGCCTCTAGCGACGCCCTCGACGACTGCCTGACAGTCTGAATATATCTCGAGCGGCACAACAGCTACAACCAGTACTTGATACACTGCCCA